CCCCGTGCTTTACTTTGCTCTCATGTCGTTAGGAGTCATTGTCTCCCCCGCCAACCCGCTCAGTTCCAACTCGGAAATCGCTCACCAGATCCAACTCAGTAAACCCGTTATTGCCTTCGCTACTTCACAAGCCTCTCATAAAATTCCATCTCTCAAATACGGAACTGTCCTCCTAGACTCGCCCGAGTTTCTCTCTTTCTTAACTCAGTCCAATATCGATAACGACATCATTAAACGAGTCAAGGTAAACCAGTCCGACTCGGCTGCGATATTATATTCTTCAGGAACCACCGGGCGAGTCAAGGGGGTGATGCTGACTCACCGAAACCTAATCTCAATAATGACGGCGATTCATCACTACAACACAACCGAAGGCGGCGATAATGATAACCCGCAGCCATCAGTGACCTTTTTTACGGTGCCTTTGTTTCATGTGTTCGGTTTCTTTATGTTGTTAGGGGCGGTTTTGTCGGCCGATACAGTGGTTTTGACGGAGAGATTTGAATTTGAGGAAATGCTTAGAGCAGTTGAGAAGTATAAGATTACTGCCATGCCGGTTTCGCCGCCGCTTGTTTTGGCGTTTGTTAAATCGGATTTGACTAAAAAGTATGACTTGAGCTCGCTTCAGGGGCTTGGCTGCGGCGGCGCGCCGCTCGGCAAGGAGATTGCCCAGCAGTTCAAGGAGAAGTTCCCCAATGTGGTATTAGTGCAGGTATTTTTCTATTTACTATCTAGTTTTTATGTTTACTTAATACCATTATTTTTAAATGATAGTTTTCTTTTCATTTTACTCCTACTGTGTTAGTTTGCTAGATTCTTTTTTTTTTAATATATTTTGATATAATTTTTAAAATATTATATAAAATTAAATTTTCGAAAATATATTTAAAAAATTAAAATTTATATAATTTTAAATTTTATAACTTTATAATTTTGTGAAAAATAATTATCAAAATAAATAAAAAAGTTAATTAAAAACAATTTTAATAATAAGACTGGAAAAAGTAATAGTTTGAAGTATGAAGGAATGAAAAAGAATAATGAATTAAGAATTATAATCAAACAAATTATTCCCTTGATTTCATATATAATAAGACGGAATAAGTAATAGTTTGAAATTTTAAATATAAAGCGTGAACCTCATGTCTTTTCGAAACTTCATTAAATATAAATAAAAAGACATAGAAGACCAGTAGTATAAAAATCAAATTTCTTAATTGCTTGATAATTGTTGTATTTTTAAATGGTAGAATTTAGTCTGTAACATATTCAAATTCGTTTTCAATTGTACATAGTTAGATGATTATTGAATTACTCTTATCTTAGGCGTAGAAGGATATTTACTGACTTCAATAATGTTAAACGCTATGGAAAGCTAAATTATCACATGCAAGCTGTTTGTGATGTTGATTTGTGTCGCTTTTGCTCCATTAATTGTGGTATCCAATCAAATTTTGGAGTGACGAAAGTGGAATAAGGAAATGTTGAATTATGAATTATGTAGTAGTAGCATTCAAATAAGGTGGGTGTGCTATTGCATATCTTATCTGTCCACTAATATGTGGTCTTAAAGTAGTACTACTTAGGCTATCCATCCATAAAAAATAAAAAAAATAAGAAAATATGTTAACCCAAATAAATATCAAGAGAAAAACTAACAATACGCACCCTATTTTGTTTTTAATAACATAATAAGTTTTTTTAAATTTTTATGAAATTTAAAAAAAAAGTGTTGATTGTTGTATATTATATTAAAATTTTTAATTTTTCTAATACAAATGACGTTTTATATTTGTTTAATATCAAAAGGTAAAAAAAATCATGAAAAGTGATTTAGAATATAGAAAAAATAATAATGTTAAATGTTCAACAAAATAAAAGAAAAAAAACACAATTTTAAAACATTAGAAAAAAGATGGATAAAAAAAATATTGGTTTGGTATTGTGATTACAATTGTAATTGACCATACGAGGATTGTCGTTTGAAAATTGTTTTTGAAAAATTATGAAAAGGAAATTATAATTTGATAATTTGATAGTGTAGAAGTGTTTGACATTGTTGTGTCAAAACTGGTATGGAATGATAAAATTTCAAAAATGGTTAAAGACTTGTTTTCATAAATTAGGTTCAAAATTATTTGCTAATGGTTAAAATATTCATAAGTCTTTGTATTCATATGTTTGTTTAATTTAATCCATATACTCAAAATCAAAGTAATTTAATCTCTTAATTTTAGAAATTATTTCAATTTAGTCTTTCTTACTAACGACATTTAATTTTTGTTATTAAAATGATAACGTCAATGCTGACATGGTATATTTTGATGACGTGACATGTCACATGGTATCAA